GTTTTAAAAGTATTACTTTAAGGAATCAAAATTTAACTGATCAATTATTTACTAAAACAACTACATATTAATTAGTTCCTATACTGAAAATGGAATTAATATTAACTATTCATAATACACAAAAATATATCTACTATCTTTATTTTTATTATTTGATTTTTTTTTTCCAGCATTTATCTGGGTAATCTGAGTAGATAAAAATTGAAGCGTCGCGTACCCGGGTAAAATTCATGAGTAATTGTATTCTCGATTTTAAAGCATAAAATATTTTTTTTATTTACAAAGTTTAGTAACTGTTACATAATGAAAATTAACAACACTGAAGTAAAAAAAAAATTATATGACCCCGCAAAAAAAAAAGAAGTTAATCATCAATTTTATGTTAGCTACCAAATAGGCCACCCACCTTCGATTTTAAAACTTTTGCCTCAAAGTATTGAAACGCCAAATGCATGTTATATACATGCCTATTATATTGTTGATATTTATATATTGATAAATGGCAACATTGTTACACCACCAAGCCTTTTTTTTGGGTTATCTACTCACTACTGACCTCTTATGGAATTAATATACAATCTATTGCAGATAGCATCTGCTAAAGTTGCTTTTCTTTATAGTGCTCGCCATTTTTCTTAATCCTGATTCTTTTCTCTACCTCTATAAATCTTCAATTTGCCATTGTATGGAATACTGTTGCCATACATACATACATGCATACACACATGCATACATACATACATACATATATACACATTAGCTAAAAAATATAGGGTATAAAATCTTCATGGATAATCTTTTTACTAGCATAAAATTGTTCAACACTTTAAAGGATATTGGAATATGGGCTGTAGGAACCATTCGTAATAAGCGCTTGCATGGTGCTGAAAAAGTAATTAAAAAAAAAAGAACTAGAAAAAATGGGACATGGCTCATTAGATTACTGGGTAGATTTTAATTCCAAAATAACAGTTATATGTTGGATGGATAATAGAGTAGTACAACTAGCATCTACATTTATTGGGCTATCATTAGGAGAATCAACTAATCGCTGGTTCAGCAAAGATAGTTAAAGTTAATTAATCGCTGGTTCAGCAAAGTTATTGTGAAAGTGTCTTGCCCAGAAATGGTACATCAATATAATAAACATACGGGTGGAGTTGACTTATGTGACATGTTAATGGCATTGTATAGAACTAAGTTAGGCACACAAAAAATGGAATATAACTATTGAATGTGTGTTTAGTTCATGGTATAACATGCATATAACTTATTATTGTGTAAATGTAGCAATAGTGAATGGATTTTGTATAAAAGACATTGTAAACAAAATGGATATATCAAGAAAAATATCATTCAGCTATTAGAATTCCAAACACGCATTGCAGATTCTTTATTAAAGAAAAAAAAAGTTTCTCAAGGCAGACCAAGAAGTGATACACCTGCTATGAAAATAAAACTCAGCCCAATAAATACCCCGGCTGAAGAAATCCATTTAGACAATATTGGTCATTGGCCTAACTTTACTGAAAAATAGCAAAGGTGCAAACATTCCAAATCTGGATATAGTCGTATTTTTTGTAAAAAATAAAAAGTCTACTTGTTCTTGGTTACCTCTCGCAATTGTTTTTATAATTTCCACAACTAGAGTTTTGAACATTTAAATAGAAACTTATAATTTTTAATATTTATATTGATGTCTATTTGTTTTTAACATATTTTATTCCAAAAATTACTTTTAAAAATTTGTGCAATTTTTATATACCCGAATATAACATATTTAACATTGGTGATGAAGATAAATTTATTGCATTACCAAGTGGTTTAATTATTGGTAATTTTATTTTATGGAGTTGATATGGTTATTATTATGAGTAGTACAAATTGATTAGTATATTAATGTGATGGCTTTGCTTTTTGGAAATTTACCGGAATTCAAGTTAGATGAGGATTGGGACAATTATGTTGAGAGACTAGATTTTTTTTTATTGCTAACAAAATTATTAATTAGGAGTAACAGAAAGCTATCATTTTGAGTTTATGTGGGCATGTGACATACAAGTTATTCAAGTCTTTGGTAGCACCGGGAAAAAAGAGCGATAGATCATACACAGAGTTATGCAGGTTGATGAGCAACCACAAGAGCCCAAACCCAAATCCGATAGCCGAATGTTTCAAATTCAATTCCAGAAATAGAGAAAATAGTGAGTCAGTAGCAACATTTATTACTGATCTCAGAGCTTTGACCACCCATTGTGCTTATGAAAATACACTGGATGAAATGCTGCAAGAGAGAATAGTGTGTGGGATTAATGACTCTCAAATACAAAGGAGACTACTAAGTGAAGGATCTACCCTTTCCTTACAAAAAACATTAGACATTGTACTAACTATGGAAGCAGCAGCAAATCAAGCAGCAATAATTCAAAGCCATCAAAACCTAACCAGCCCAGCAGCAATCAATAAAGTCAAAATCAAGTCAGAAAAGCATTATGAATGCGAGTGTTTTCGTTGTGGAGGCAAACATAAGGATCAGGAGTGTTATTTTTTGCCATGACAAGGGAAACACAACAAGGAAATGTTGTAAAAAGAAAAGGGTGTCGAAAACAACACAAGATTGAAGAGGTTAATGGAAAATAAGAAGAGCTATATCAAATTCAAAATAAGTCAAATAAAAAGAAACCAATCATGATTGACGTGGAAATTGAAGATATTTGTACACAAATGGAGCTCGACACATTACTCAACACTCTTAGTAATGAGTCTAGAAACATTTACAAGCTTGCAAAAAAAGGGACTCAAGAGAAAGGATGCTCATCCAACAAAAAAATTTTTGGGTACATTCACCAGTGGGGGAAGTTAAGCTTTCTATCAAAATAAATGGACAGACTATTTGTTAACTTTAATAATCACTCCAGGTAAAGGACCTTCATTGATTGGCAGAAATTGGCTGAGAAAAATTAAAATTAATTTGGGAAAAAATATTTCATGCAAGCTCAGGAATCCTAAGAAGTCCCAATTCATCAATGATAAATACATTAGTCAGAAAACATTCTGCAGTTTTCCAAAATGTGCTGGGACAATTTAAGGATACAGTGGTACACATACCTTTGTTGCCAAATGTAAAACTGAAGTTTTGCACAGCAAGACCTATACCATATGCTTTATTGGAAAAAGTAAATGCAGAATTCAATCAGTAATAAAAAAAGACAGCACCATTCGATTATGTGGAGATTAACAGACCGTAAATCAGGCAGCAATATATGATAGTTATCCCCTACGGAGGACAGAAGATTTAATTGCAACTTTGGCCGGCAGACAAATATTCACAAAACTGAAAATTACTTCTTGATAAAAGTATCTGCGAATTATTGACAGTAAACACTCATTGAAGTCTATTTGAACCTACACGATTGCAGTTTGGAGTACACTCAGTATCTGGAATTTTTCAACGAGAAATTGAGAAGCTGATCGGCAAATTGCTATTTACAAAGTTCGAGTTGATGACGTTTTAGTGTTGGGGTGGTCAGATGAGGAGCATTTAAATAATGTTGAAAGGGTTTTAAAAATTCTGGAAAATGCAGGACTAAAGTTAAAAGAAAATAAATGTATATTCATGTCATTCGAAGTTGAATATCTGGGTTTTAAGTTAACAAAGGATGGAGTTGTACCGCTTGAAGACAAACTTAATACAATCAGGAGTGCTCCTGAACCTAAAGACACTACCCAAGTAAAATCGTTCCTTGGCATGATCAACTATTACCACAGACATTTACCAAACCTAGACGATCATGGAACTACTCTATAGACTTCTTAGAAAAGACATTCTTTGGTTGCGGGGCATGAAAGAATGGACAGCGTTTGACAGTGTCAAAGCGGAGTTATGTTCGCCTAAATTGTTGATACATCAAAAAAAGAAGCTGATGTTGTTTTGTGACACATCACTTTATGGAATTGGAGCGGCACTGGCACATATACTGAGGGAAGTAAAAAACCAATTACTTACATATCCAGAACGCTATCTGCAGCTGAACGAAAATATTTTCAAATTGAGAAAGAAGCATTATCTATCGTATTTGTCGTAAAGAAGCTGCATCAGTATTTATATGAGAGATTTTTTACTCTAGTGAGGAATCACAAGCCTTTATTGGGTTTATTAGCTGAAGGAAAGGCTATTCCAGCCATGACCGTTGCAAGGATTCAGCATTGGGGGTTAACCCTTTCTGCTATAAATATACAGTACTTCAAACTATTGTTTGAAATACCATAGTGGGGCTACACATGGAAATGCAGGCTGCATGAGCAGATTACCAATTAAAAACACTGAGTCATCGATGGCAGAGAACGCAATTTTAATGATACAACTATCCAGCACAACAGTTTCAGCCAAAGATCTAAAAATCCATTTGGCACAAGACCCAATCATAAGCCAAGTGTTAGATGGTGTTCTTAGTGGATTGCAGTTTCTCAATGAAACAGATTTTAAACCTTTTGTAAACTAAATTACAATACCTGCATCATTACAGAAGATAATATTAAAAGAGGTGCATAGTGCCCATTCGGGTTCATTCATTTTTTATCTTTGTATTGTAATTATCTAATATTTAAATTTACGTTTATAATGCTAAAATTCTTCTCTACTAAAAACAAAACAATTATTGCAGTATGAGATATATAGATATATATAGTATGAGATATATAGTCTCAAGCATTAAAAAAATCAGTGACTGTTATGCAAAAAAAATTATTAATCGCATTTTGTTAGCAAAAAAAGTCCATCTGAAACTCAAATTTTATCTTTTTTGATCAAATTTTTTTTTTTGATGCAGATTTACGGAAGCAATTTACAGCTCTCAAAAAAGCTGTACCTTTTTGAAAGCTGTAAATTGCTTCCTTAAACAACTTTAAGGGAGTCTGGTCAAGAAGTGAGAGCTTAAGCTCTCACTTCTGGCCGAGTTCTGATAAAGTATTTTGAACAATTTAATATATACAAAAAATACCACTGAGAAATTTTGAAACAGGTTTTCTTTGCTTATCCTTTCTTTTCCGCTTATCAATCCATTCCTTAAAAACAAAGAAAATATTTTTAGCAATCCAAAATTTAAAAAAAAAAAAATCATACATAAAAATTCGCACAATTATTTGAGTAGTAAAAATAAACAATAAACTAGTTAGACAAGAAATTTAAACTTCAGCTAAATTCAGGAAATATAGTGTACAAATTTTAAAAGAATTCTAAAACTAAATTCTAAACTTATTCTTTTTTAGAATCAATTTTCTTTTTATAATACGCTTAATAAGCTTTATACTTATCTGTTTCAAGATTTATTATAAAAAGAATTGAGTTATGGTGATTTATTGTTATAGAGATTAAAAAATAAATGAATTTGTATTTCATACAAAAACTTTTAAATGGTAAGATGTTTATACAGAATTTAACAATAGCTGCTCCAGAAAAATGAATTCCTCAGTAGATTCAGATATTTCACTGCTGACATCATCTCTATCATATATTTCTAAGAATATGTTGTGTTGAACTTTTCAAAAAGTATTCTCATACTAGACTTTATGCTCAAATGAAAACAGTAATAAGCTTCAAATGTTATTAAAAAAATATATATTAAAAAGTCAAACTAGGTCTCAAAAAAGGCTAAATTACATTATTGACCTTACAAATCCAAGAATCAAATGAACTTGTAACACAATTGAGAAAAATCCTAAAATAGTTTTGCAAAAGAGTATTGAACATTTCTTTTTAACAAATTAAAATAAAAATAACACAACTAATAAAAACTAGTAGATTGTGATTTAACTTTTTTTTTAAACTTTATTTACATTATTTTAATAATTAAAATTGAATAGAAATTGAAAAAAAGGAGATGGGTCCTCAAATTAACAACAGGTCAAACATGTTTTATGATTATATTTGAATACATTTTTATGAATGATTTTAATTTATGATTAATTTTCTATTTAAAAGAGTATTTTTATTTATTCACAAAAAGCAGAATGCCCCCTAAATGGTAAGTACAAATCCACAAATATTATATACAAATGCATCATCATAGCAAAAAACCAACCTAACAAAGTTTATATTGGATTAACAGAAGGTGAGTGGAAAAAAAAGATCATAACATTTACACACATAAATAACACTTTTATTTTACACTTACTTTTATAAGATTTGGATTCAGATTTTGCTCTGCAATTGAAGCAATCTTTTTTATGTTTTCCGGTGAAGAATAATTATTTAACCCATTTAAAAAATATGGCTCCAGAATATCATCTAAATTCGAACAAGTACAATATCTTTTTTGTAGCAATATATGAGCAGTTAATTTAATTCTTTTCATTTTTTGCATTTTTAACACCTCTATAAATGAATCAGTAAAATAAGTTTTAAAAGGTGTAAAATAAATTTTTATTCAAATAAAATAAATTATGTATGCAATGCATGCAAAAATATAAATGCATATACAGAGGCGTAGACAGATTTTTTTGTTGTTCAAGATAGGTAACTTCCAGATATGGAGCAAACTTCAAACATTTATATTTTTATACTTACGTTAAATAATGAGACTTTGCATAAAATTGCGACGATTAGAGGTTGGGAACAAAAAAAACTCAAAATCCCCCCCCTTCTGCCCCAAATGTGAGAGCAACAAGTTGATAAAATATTTTTTGTACTTTTCTTAACTAGACATATATTCATCGATAAATTTTAAGTTTCATAGTATAATCTTTCAGCATTCATAAATTATGACTGTTTAAATTTTGTAACCTCCTTCAAATTGAGGGGGGTTCAAACTAAGTAAGTTCATAATTACTTAACTAAAACAACAAAACTTAATTACTTATCTAAAACAACAAAAAATTCTGTCTACGCCTCTGTGTGTATATATATATATATATATATATATATATATATATATATATATATATATATATATATATATATATATATATATATATATGTATATATATATATATATATATATATATATATATATATATATAAATATATATATATATATATATACGTATATGTATATATATATATATATATATATATATATATATATATATATATATATATATATATACGTATATGTATATATATATATATATATATATATATATATATATATATATATATATATACGTATATGTATATATATATATATATATATATATATATATATATATATATATACGTATATGTATATATATATATATATATATATATATATATATATATATATATATAATATATATATATATATATATATATATATATATGTACATATATATATATATATATATATATATGTATATATACATATATATATATATATATATATATATATATATATATATATATATATATATATATATATATATATATATATATATATATATATATATATATATATGTATATATATGGTAGTAATAATAATAATATATAATATGATAATAATAATCCCCTCATTTTAATGGGGTTACAAATTTTTGAATGCTAATTTATTATTTGAATGAAATCTAGAGTTTATTGATAAATACAAATTTAAAACAATTATTTTGTTCTTTCTCTGTAGTTAATCATTAAATAAAAAAAGAAGTTATATAATCAAAATTAAAAAATAATACTTAATATCATATTTAAAAATACTAATGATAAAAGTTTTATACATTTTAAATAAATGTATTTTGTATTTTGTATTTATTTATAGTTAAATAAAAAATTGAAAAAATAAAATGAACAAGATTTTGTGTACAGTTGGTATTTTATCAAATAAATAATGCCATAAAATGGTGTACACTAAATAACCTGGATTGAAAGATTTATCAAGCTATTCAGAGAGAGATAAAATTTTATTATTATGGAATTCTGGGCTATCAATATTAAACGTTAATGTTAAAATCTGTTTACATAATGAGCAAATTTTACTTAACTGGTTCGCTAACTTCCAATAAAATTGGCCCATTTAAAAAGAATAAAACCAATATAAAAGGTAAATTTATATGTTCTTAACTTAGGGGAGAGCAGGTAGGATTCGTACAGCAGGAGCATTGGTACAGTAAGCATATCTAGACACATTTATATTTGTGTGTGTGAAGACCACTCATGCACAAAGGCTAACAGCTGAGCGCTGTGGCAGTGCCATCTTGGAGCAAGTAGATACGTGTTTTTGCACTGCTAAAGTAATTTTACAATTAATCTTTGAAAACATTGTCGTATAAAATTAATATTTAAACAATAATTTTCTAATAACCTTATCCGTTATTTTTATTTTGAACTTATGTTAGTTATCGTTGGGGCGCATTCGTACAGTAATAAGTGGGGAGGATTCGTACTGTAAATACATATGAAAAAACCCGTGCAGTCCGTTCTTTCGCATATAAACAGATAGCCACAACTGATTTCGATGAGAACCTAGAAAAGCTTTTAAGAAAATATGTATTCTCTGCAGATGGAATATATAATTTTATCTTTATTGTGTTTAATAATTATTTTGTTTTAAGTTTAATCTTATTTTCAATAAATATATTTTTAACTTTGTAATAATGTACTGAACAAAGAACTGAACAAAGCTACCCCGCATTTGGGGTGCATTCGTACAATCTCCATTTTTTTGCAAAAGTCATCATAGTACCGTCTTGTTAGCTTTTTTCCAAAAACTACAATATTATTAAAGCCAGATATTTAGGTTACTCAACAGCATTAAAAGTGTTTTAAAATAGCAATTATTTTTGCTTTTAGTGTACGAATCCTATCTGCTTTCCCCTATTGTGCTCTATTTTTACAAAAAATACATCTAGTACACTTTCAACTAGTTTGAAAAATTTTAATTTTTTTATTTTATTTCTAAAATTATTAAATTATCTAAACTATTCTTTCCTAATTTTGACGAATTTTTTTCATTTATAATATATTTATAGGTGGTTTGCAAGAAATTGATATTCAACTAGCAAAAGATATGTTTTCAATTAGTATTGATACAACATCTGGAACAAACATCTTTTAATGAAGATATAGAAATTGCACAAGAAAATTGTTTGTATTATTGTCCTGGAATTCAAAATATTATCAATTAGATACCTGCAAATCTATTGCAAAATGAAGGATCATTTGAAGAGAATGACAAAGTCGATGAAGATGAAATAATTGAATACAAACAGTGGAATACAACAGATAGAGCAGAGCTTCTAAGTTACACATCTATAATAGATGAATTCATTGAAAGTCTTAGCAAAAAACCTAAGAGCATAACATCTCAATCTTATATTGTTAAAGCACAAGGTGAATATTTAAATACATTATTAAATTAATTATTGTTTTGGTTGATTTTCAGAAAACTTTAAATTTGTCATACAAGACCAAATCCAGAGCTGCTACTGGAGCCAACAGCAATGCACACTACATCCTGTAGTTATTTATAACAAAAATGTTGAGGGTGCTACTAAAAGTCAATCAACGTCTTCATGTTTTATATCTGATGACTTAACACATGATGTTGGATTTATTTATTATATAGTAAAAGAACTGCCCAATTTGTACAAGAAATGTCTAACTATTATGAAGTACAACCCCATATTGATAAAAAAAATATTATATTCTAATTCCTTGTCTTAAAACCTATACTGATGCTAATTTTCAGTCTAATCACATGTATAAATTTACCTTTTATATTGGTTTTATTCCTTTTATATGGGCCAATTTTTTTGGGAGTTAGCAAACAAGTTAAGTAAAATTTGCTCATGATGTAAACAGATTCTAACATTAACGTTTAATATTGATAGCCCAGATCTCCATAATAACCGTAACTCATAAAACAAAAACTATAGTAAAATCAAAATAGCCACCAAAAAAAATTGCTAAAAATAGCTGGTTTTAAAGTCACAATATCTCCAAAACCTATTTGATATCAATGCTAAAATTTTGAAAGGTAGCCTATGTTTATAGGTGACCATTTTTACAAAGTATAAAGAAAATCAGAGATGGTGGGTTACAAACCTTAAGAATTTGCCCCACTTTTTTATGGAATACCTCTTAATTCAATTTTATAAAATTTTCCATCATGCTGAAGACATCTCATGGTACAATCCACCTAAATTTTTAGCATCATTATTGTTGTCTGGACTACAAGAAGGAATCAATTTAAACATAATTTATGCATTCAACAAGTTAAATGCCATTTTAAAGAACATTTCTTCTTAAATCGAATAGTAAAAGCATGAAATAATCTACCAGAATAAACCATGATACATTAAAATTGAATAATTTTATGAGCAAAATTAAAAAATCATAATTTATTTATTTATTTATTTGAAAACAATAGAAGGACCCAAAGGCCACTAACACTGAGTATACATTAACAAATTGTTTCCTGAAATGTTGAATTGTATCAAGTACTGGACAAGTTAGAACAAAGTTGTATTAACTTGAACAAAGCAGTACAGCAAGACGGTTCTTAAACATCGAGACAATGCAGACACCATATTCTCTGATAAGCTATTCCATACATTAATAATTCGATTAGAAAAGAAACACTTAGTGCTGTTTAAACTACAATGGTGTTTACACAGTTTAAAGTTATGACCACGATTATTCAAGTAAGAATTGAGAATAAAAATATTTGATAGGTCAGTGTCCAGTTTACCGTTAAGAACTTTGTAGCATAAAACTAAATCTTTAAACACTCATCGATATCCTAACGTGTTCAGCTTTAGTATGGCTAGTTGCTTATCATAAGAAACTGATCACAGACCAGTAATTCTTTTAGTAAAGAAATGATGCACTTTATCAATTTTATTATTCAGGCATATAGTGTAAGGCGACCACACTGAAGAGTAATATTCAAGCATAGGTTGTACATATAAGCTTTAACCATCAGCAATCTATTTCGTGAATAAAAAGATTTTAAAATAGGATAAGCTCTTGACATTTCACCTTTATGTACAACAAGATTGATATGTTGATTGAATTTGAGATTTCTTCAATGGTGACATAATCAAACACTTTTTGAGTTTTCTTATAACCAAACTTTAGTAATCATTATGTAACATTTATTTATAATTAGTAATTATCAAACTATTATAGTTATTGGCTGTTGAAGATTCAACATTGCGTTGAATCTCAACAGCAATACTTATTATTATTATTACTATTATTATTATTATTATTACTATTATTATTATTATTATTATAGATACATGTATGTATGTATGTATGAATGTATGTATGTATGTATGTATGTATGTATGTATGTACGTATGTATGTATGTATGTATGTATGTATGTATGTATGTATGTATGTATGTATGTATGTATGTATGTATGTATGTATGTATGTATGTATGTATGTATGTATATAATAATATTATGTATATACATACATGTATATATTATATACATATACATATATATATATATATATATATATATATATATATATATATATATATATATATATATATATATATATATATATATATATATATATATATATATATATATATATATATATATATATGCATATATAATATGTACATATTAGATTATGAATACACATATATGGTATATATATATACATAACCTGGGTCTTGTCTGAGAATGTAGTTTTATTTCTTCTGAGACTCAGAAAAAATAAAACTACATAAAATTTTTTTAAAGTAATACTTACTTTATATCAAAAGACTTTATTAAAAAATGTTATTTAAAGCCTTAAAAAAAACTTTTTTATTTTTGTGAAAAAACATTGTAGTTTTGTTAAAAAACATTGTAGTAACCAATTCGCCAATATAACCAATATAATAATAATATTTTTATAATGTAGTAGTAATTTTTTGTAAAATAACTACGGCAAAAAAAAATCCCGCTTAATATCCCTCCTCCCGTTAATTATATTTTTTACCCATTCCGTTTTTTAGAACTCCCCTCTCATCCCCGTTTTTTAGGTCTCCCCTCTTTTATATTCAAGCAGGTCAAAGTGCGTAGTGAAACCGCTAATTTAGCATATCTCTCCCCCTTGTTGTCAAATTTTTATCAAATACACTGCTTCCACTATTTCATTGGTAATCTCTTTACAAAAAATTTCACTTTTAATTGTTACCTGGTGTTTTTTTGTGTGTCGTTTCATTGTAATCTTAATCTTGCTCGGCCAGTATATATTACAATTTCACAAATTATGTTTGAAAACTTTTCTTTCAACTAAAGACAATACAGATCAAATGATATAGTTTTATAATTTAGGCCTTCTCTAGGTATACTTTGTAGAAAAAAGGCTATTCATCATTGGTACAAACGTTGATTGGTCTGATACGTTTTTATGATAGAAGACAATTTTAAAATAGAACACTGTTTCGTAATCATTCTTTCAGTATTTGTAGAAAACGGAAACGGAATGAAGGCATTGTGGCACGGCGATCTTTCGTACATAAGTTTTCCTAATATTCATGGATCTGCAATTTACCAAATAGTAAAACAAAAAAGTTCATGTATTTTTTTAAAATATCAAATACAATCCGACGTCACTTTAATTTGTTAGAGTTGGCGCATTATGCCGTCAGAAATCTGTTCTTTCGTTTTCAAAAAAAAATATTGACATTTTGGCCAAACTCTGCAAATAAAATTCACTTTAAAGATTATCGACGTGCGGTTTAAATTTTTTAAAAACTAGTAAAAATAAAATATTTTTATAAAAACAAGTGAAAAGTCTATTTAGTATCATTTTTTCATAAAGAATTTGTATTTAAAAATTTAGTTTTTAAAAATTTAGTATTTTTTCTCTTAAAAAAAGTGAATTTTAGTCGAATGCGTTATAAGTTTCAAGTTCTGCAAAATTGCGTATTTCTATATAAATAGCAAAAAATGAAATTTGTTTAAATAAATATCGAGAAAATAAATTCTTTTCTGTGTTTTGTTGTGTTTTTTTTTTTTTTGTTGTTTTATAACTTAGCTGGATTTAGAGTTTTTAAAGATTTTTATTTAATTTTTTTTTTTTTTTTTTTTTTTGATATCACAAGAAAATGGACTACTTGCTGCGCAGTAAGTAATGCAATACTCACGGCCTTGTTATACAGTAAAAAATTATGTTAATAAGTCGCATATGTTTTAATGAATTACAATGTAATTTATAAACACACCGAGTAACAATAAAAAAGTATTTCCCCTATGATGCAATTTACACATCATATGATGCAATTTACACAGATTTTTATTTAGAGATCAAACGTTCGGGGAAAAGTAAAATTTTCCTCTCTTTTTTTTAAATTCATGAAAAGATTCAGAAAATCAAAAGCATAGACCTGTATAAAATGTTTAACAGTGAAGAACTTTATCTAAGACCTGTATAAAATGTTTATACAGAAAACTCTTCAGAGTAAAAATGTTGCAAATTATATGAATCAGGAAAACAAGAGGAAGTGAATTCCAAAGGCTGATGATGTTCGAAGAAAAAAACAAGATAAATTAGAACTTTGGCAGCATTTAGAAACAGTCACAGTAAAAGATGAAGGGTAGATGACTCATTGAGTATATTACCGTTTATTAATAAAAGGAGATCTAGATTATTGCGATAATAGTTAGTTGAAAAAAATTGAGTTTTATCTGAATTAAAGTTCACCAGCCGTTGATGACTCATTGAGTCATCAACGGCTGTCATCATCCTGTAGCAGAAATGGGACGATTGATAAGAAAGGATTCAATAATATTAAAGATGTTACCTAATACACCGTGAGAAGAAAGTTTATGGAGAAAACCAGCATGCCAAACTTTATCTAAAGCTCTACAAATGTCAAGAACAATAGCCTTAGCATCTCCACATCTATCTAACGCACAATAAAAACTTTTGCATATTACCGTTAACAAATCAGCAGTAGAACAAGAAGATTGAAATCCATATTGATGATCAGAAAGTAAGTTGTTAGATTCAAAATGAGAGATTAAGTAATTGTTAATTAAAGACTCAAAACCCTGCTTATGATAGTAAGAAGACTAATCGGAAAATAGTTAGACGGGTCAGATTGTTCTCCAGAATTTTTGAAAATAGGGAAAACAGATGTCCCTTTCCAGCTTTCAAACAAGACTCTAATAAGTACTTGTTAAATAGTTTTGAAAATATAGACGACAGCTCCGAAAAACACATCTGCAAGACTATAACAGTTTTGCTGTCCGGATAACAAGTTGTACTCGAGTGGTACGAAAGTCAGACAATGGACTAACCTGAGAAGAGTGAGAGTTGAGTCGGTATTGTTGAGAGGAAATAAAGGATTCCATGCCAGCCTGAATCCAAGAAGTTACATATAAAGGACATTTTTCAACAATTAGACAAAAGATTTCTACCTCTAGTTTTCTCTAAAACTACTATCTAGAGATAGTGGTTTTAGAGAAAACCGTGATCAGTAGCACCTAAAGGTGATTGTGGAGAAACTGAGCACTGACTAGGATCAGAAACAAGACATAGATCAAGTAGAGAAGATAAATGATTCGGATTGTCTGGAAAACGAGTTGGAAAGTTGACTATTTGTGTTAGAGATTGGGAAAGGCAAAAGTTGTGGGCTTTAATGCCTGCAGAGTTACTGACACTAGAGCCAAGCCATTTTGTGGAATGAGCATCAACGTCACCAACAATAACGATATTAGTTGAAGAATAAAGAGAAAGGGCTTGGTCAATTTGATCAGAAATAAAATCAAAAAGAGTGCTTGAGATGAAGGAGAAAACAAAGAGAAAGGCAATAGAGTGAAGTGGTGCTAAACGAAAGCACAAAAAAAGAATAACATAGAGATTCAAACCTAGTTTCCCAACAAATGGATGAGTTCTTACAAATGTAGATGCCCAGGCCAAGCATGTGACTTTAGAGTCTTTATAAATTTAAAGGAAAATAAGTTTAATGAACTTCAACGTTTCTTATCGCTTATTTTCTGTATAATGACTTCATAAAATTACAATAACGTAAAATAGTTTTAGCTAATATCTCCATCTCGGAGCACATTCTTACATCTTCCCCTTCTTCTGTAAATGAAATGTTTTATTGTTTGTGTTTTAGAATGTTTTAATATTTCCTCCAAAATTCCATAGGACGTCTTTCTCTGTTAGGGTATGTTTTTGGAATCGGTTCTTGATGATAGCTTCTTAGTTGTGTCGTCAGAGTAGCTGTTGTTTCCTTTTCTGGCGAAATCGATTGGTTCTGGGGGTGTTCCTCATCTTTAATTGGTGTCGGATTAAATTGTATATCCGTTGGTACTTCCTTCATGTGTGAAGCATTCCGAGTTTTTTGAGAGTTATCGACATAAAATTTGGCAATGATCATTGTACCATTCTTTTCCGTAATTGCGTAGGGTTTGAACTCAAACGGTGAGGTAATTTTCTTATATTTTTTTTGTTTCATCAGTATGTATTCAATATTTAAATTTGGATTTTTTGCGCGGTATTTTGATTTGTGGTATCTTTTTCTGTATAACTTAGCATTTTCTTGTCTCTTTTTGGCTTGATCATTGATATTTTTTTCGACTTGGAATAAAGGTATTGTAAAACCTTTAACGCAATTGAACATGATTGTAGATCAATGGGGCGTGGTACGGTAGGAAAACAGGAAGATGTATAACTGATTTTTCCAGTCTTTTCGTTCAATGTGTGCTGCTTGTATTGTTTTAATTAGTGGTTTCATAAATAATTTAGCTTGTGAGTTTGCTTGCGGCCAAAGCGGCGTGATACGTTTGCGTTCAGTTTGTTTAAAATTATCTTTATTTTGAATGTAAAAGGTGGTCCATTATCACTAACAATTGTTTTCGGTATTCCATATACTGCTATCGTTTTCTGTAAAAAATCAATAAGGAGGTCAGCAGATGTATTATTTATAATATCAACAATAATTTTTGATGTTTGTTCTGCAAGGACTATCAATTAAAATCCGTTAGATAAAGGACCAAGGTAATCAATGTTAACGGTGTGCCAAACTTTCTCTGGTCTTGGTGTGATTAATAGTTTGGCTAGTGCATTTTGTTTACCAAGAGCTCAACAAATTGCACATCGTTTAATATATTGCTCTACTTTAGTGTCTAGACCAGGAAAGTAAACTTTTTCTATAAGAAGTGATTTGGTTATCTCAAGTCCCATGTGACTATTATGAGCAAGCTTTATAACCGCAATTTCCAGTGAACGTAGAATTACGATTCCATTTGCTTTTAGAATAATGTCTGAAGTTTGATTTGCTGTAAGTTCTTGGCGAATATTACGGTCAGCAAGTAAGTCTTTTTGAAATTTTTTTAGTTCTGGCGGACATTTCGGATGTAGTAGTTTATGCCAGCCATTAGTAGAAATTAACTCTGTAAGTATTTGTAGAATGGGATCGGCTTTGGTTTCTCTTTGAATATCTAGTAGTGAAAGGGCTTTAGGATATGCGTATTCAGCTGTAAAATTGACATATTTTTCTAGCCCTTTGTCCTCACAAGAGCCTATATGGTGTCGACCAGAATAATCAAATATATTATTTTTTCCTTGGACGTAGTGTAGATTAAAAGAATATCCCTGTAATCGTAAAGTCATACGCTCAATGCGAAGTGGTACTGTAGCGTTTAGGTAGTTTAAAATCTTTACAATAGCTTTGTGGTTGTTGTACATTTTAAAAGGGTGTCCAAATAAGTATTTGGACACCCTTTTAAAAGGGTGTCCAAATACTTTGCTTTACCAAATACTACGCTCGAAAGAGAATGTTTAGCTATATAACTATAGCTAAACATTCTCTTTCGAGCGTAGAGTAGCGTTATTGTACAGGCGATAGCGCTTTTGTATTATAAGATATTAGTTTAAAGTCTTGTTTATTTCGAGTGTTTTGAACAATTACTGCTGATATGCCTACAAGACATGCATCAGTGACTGTAGTCTCTTTGTTGGGATCAAAGTATCCGACACATGAGTCTAATGTTATAGCGTTTTTTAGTTTGTCAAATGCATGCTGGCACTCAAGGTTCCAGTTCCATAACGAATCTTTATGCAGAAGGTTTCTCAAAGGATAAGTAATTGTACTGTAGCGTAGAATGAAGCGTTTAAAATAGTTCATAAGCCCGAAAAAACTTTGGAGAGCTTTAGTATTTTCTGGTGTTGGCATTTTCTTAATATTATAAAGTTTTTACGGATCACGTTGCATTCCTTCTTTTGAAAATATAAATCCATAAAATTTGACTTTTTCTTTTCCAAATAAGCATTTTTCAAAATTTAGAGTTAAACCTCTCTGTTTAAATCTCTCTGTTTAAGCGAAAATTAGAACAATAGCAATGTTCAAAGTACCTTCTATATCTTTTAAAACTTCTCGTAAAGCGTTTTGTAGATCCTCCTGCGCGGTGTTTACTCCAAAATAAAGTCTTGTAAAACGTTTAATTTGACTTTCGGATTGAAAAGTTGTTATTGATTTGGATTCCGGCGCTGTTTGAACTAGTGAAATGCGTTCATTAAATCTAGTTTCGAGAAAACGGCGGAGTTTTTTAGTTTTATAATAACATCGTCCAAAGTTGGAGTTGGAAAACGCGTTCTTCCAATGGCTTTGTTAGCGGCTCGCATGTCCACGCAAGTTCTTAGGTTGCCGTCATTTTTGGAACAATTACCATTTTTTTAATTACTATGGGCTTATCCAGGGTGTCACTTCGTCTGTTACAGTTTCAATTATTCCTTTTGCTTCAAGTTTTTCAATTGCTTGCGCATGGTTGAAGTGATCGGACGTGTTTTTGCAGCGTGGAATTATTTGTTATTTTGATTCTTTTTATTTTTATTTTTTTATTTTATTTTTTTTAACAAACTACTACTAATAATAAATTTTTGATATGGATACTAAAAGTATTGAAGTGCTTGTTGCTGGTTTACTTGAGAAACATAAAAATTCCAACTTAGATGAAACAAAAAAACTTTTAAAAAAACAAGAAAAGAGTTTTGCATCCTTAACAGCTGCAAACTTTAAAATGTTCACAGAAAGGCTGAATGAATATGAAAAAGATAATATAAATAATCTTCAAAAGATTAGCAAAATTGAAAATGATTTAGAGATTACAACTAAAAAAGTAATCTCTCTTGAGGCTGACTTTACGGAATTAAAGAAATACATAACGACCAGTGATCAAATTGCTTCTGAGAAATTCGAGGTAGTAAAAAAGAAAACTAAAGAAATAAATAGTAAATTAAGGGATAAAAGTGAGTTATTAAAGGTAAAAAGCAAACTAAGAGAAATTGAAGATAGATCGAGAAGGAATAACCTGAGAATCGACGGCTTAAAAGAAAATGATAATGAAAGTTGGAGCAATAGTGAAGAAAAAATGTTGAAGCTATTTGAAGAATCACTTGGACTGAAAGAAATTAAAATTGAAAGGGCTCACAGAACTGGAATCAGAGACGGCAAAAAAGTAAGATCTATAGTACTAAAATTACTAAATTATAAAGATAAAGAAAGAATCCTAAAAAATTCTTCAAAATTAAAAGGCAAAAACATATATATAAATGAAGATTATTGTGCGGAGACGGTACAAATAAGAAAAGAATTACGGATGGAAATGAAAAAAGCTCGAGAAGGTGGGAAATTCGCGTTTATATCATACGACAAGTTGATTGTACGAGAATGGTCTCCAAAAGAAAAGTAAATATTTTATGTTTCTTCTAGCTTAACGGTACCTTTTATTTTTCCTTTTTTTTATATATATGATTTAGATTGTTATTATATTCTACTTTTTTAAAAATGGATGATAATCTTTTATTAAATTTGAATACTGAGAGTGATGATGACTATTTCAATAAAAAAAACTTTGAAAGTGAGTATTATTCAATCCGTGAAGCTACTCATTTTTTGTGTCAAAAAAATAATATAAATAGTTTTTCAATTTTAAATTTAAACATTCGAAGTATCAATAAAAATTTTGATTATCTAAAATTATTATTGCATGATCTAAATCATGATTTTCAAATAATTACTCTCACGGAAACGTGGTTGAAAAGCAATGAAAAAAACTATAATTATGAGCTAAGTAATTACGTGTCAGTCCACCAACCGCGTCAAAACCACGTTGTCGGTGGTGGTTTAAGTATCTTTGTTCACAAATCTATTAACTTTGAATTGCGTAACGACCTCAGCGTTAACGAAACAGATTGTGAGTCGTTATGCATTGAAATAAATAATAAAGCGACCAAAAATATAATTATTAGTTCTATTTATAGAAAGCCATCTGGTAATTTAAAAAAGTTTCATACCTATCTAAAAACATTTTTAAGCAAAATTAACATTACAAAGAAACACGTGTACTTAACTGGTGATTATAATTTAAACTTGTTAAATCATGCTTCAAATCTAAATGTTCAATGCTTTTTAGATACACTTATACAATACGATATCATTCCCACTATAAATAAGTCGACGAGAATAACTAAGACTTCGTCGACCTTACTAGATAACATATTTACTAATAATTTTCATAATTGCCCTTTAGAATCGGGTATAATTAAAACTGACATAACAGATCATTACCCAATATTCTTAACTACAGATAATATAACCCTTAATCATTCTGTCTCTAAATCAACAATATCAATGCGACAAATCAATAAAAACTCCATAATATTTCGAAATCTTTTATCTGAAAAAACTAATTGGGATCTTATATTACAATCGCAAGATGTGAATAATGCATATGAATTATTTTTGGCGCAGTTTTGTAAATACTATGATTTGGCATTTCCAGTTATAAAAAAATTATAAATCCTAAATCACTTTTAAACCCTTGGATGACCAAAGGTTTACTCAAATCATCAAAGAGGAAACAAAACCTTTATGAAAAATATTTAAAACATAAAACATATAAAAATGAAACAAAATATAAAAATTATAAAAACTTGTTTGAAAAAATAAAGAAACAATCTAAAAAAAATTATTATGCAAAATTGCTAGAAAAAACACATGGAAACACACAAAAGACGTGGAATGTAATTAAGCAGATAACCGGTACAAATAAATGTCAAAATAATAAATTGCCAGAAAAACTTTTAGTTGACGGGGATATAATTTATAATAAAGAAGTCATAATTAACAAGCTCAACAAATTTTTTCTTGATATTGGACCAAAATTAGCTGATAAAATTCCAAAAACCAACTCAAACAACTTCGAATCTTATATAAATACACCCAACACATCTATGATAGAATCTAATTTAAACTTAAGTGAGATGCGCAATGCTTTCAACTGTCTGAAAAATAATAAATGTGCGGGCATTGATAAAATTAGCGTTAATGTAGTTAAAGCTGTGTTTGATATTATTGAACCATCACTGTTTCACATTTTTAACCTTTCTTTAAAATCCGGTATTGTACCGGAGAAATTAAAAATTGCTAAGATTATACCTATTTTTAAAAATGGCGATGATACAAATATGTCCAATTATAGACCTATTTCTGTCTTACCATGTTTCTCTAAATTGTTAGAACGAATTATGTATAATAGACTTGACAACTATTTAACTGAGAACAATATTCTGTATAATAAACAATTTGGGTTTAAAAAAAATCATTCAACGGACCATGCAGTAGTCGATCTAATAAATTATGTATCCAATGGGTTCAATAATGATTGCTATACATTAGGATTTTTTATTGATTTGTCAAAAGCATTTGACACTGTTAATCATGATATTCTAATAAAAAAACTAGAAATGTATGGAGTATTAAACAATAACTTACAATGGTTTAAAAGTTACCTTTCAAACAGAAAACAATACATAATATATACAGAAAATGAAGAAAAAAAACATATAATAACTTGTGGTGTTCCCCAGGGATCAATCTTAGGGCCCTTATTATTCATACTGTTCATTAATGATTTGTATTTAGCATCCAAAATTCTAAACGTTATTTTGTTTGCTGATGACTCAAATCTTTTTTACTCTAACAGAAATATTAAAGATCTGTTTAGAATTTTTAATGAAGAGTTATTAAAAATAAATGAATGGATTACGAATAATAAACTTTCATTAAATGTTGGGAAAACTAAATTTATGTTGTTCCACAAACCTAGTAAAGGTGATAACCTTTTTTTAAAACTACCTGATCTCTTTATGAACAAAAAAGTTATTAAAAGAGAGTCAACTATTAACTTTCTAGGAGTGATATTAGATGAAACTATATCATGGAAATATCATATTAGATCTATTGAAAATAAAATCTCCAAAAATATTTCAATGCTATATAAAGTTAAATTTTTTCTTAATACGGAATCTTTAAAAATTATATATTTCTCATTTATTCATAGTTATCTTTCCTATTGTAATCTTGCATGGGCAAGTACCAATTATGGGAAGCTCAAAAAAATTTATAGCAAACAAAAACATGCTTGTAGGATTATTTTTGGCGTTAACAGAACTGTTAATGGTGAATCTCTTTTAAAGAAACTTAATGTGCTTAATATTTACAAACTTAATATATACCAAGTTATGCTATTCACGTTTAAAACAAAACATGCGTTATCTCCTAATATATTTCAGTCTTACTTTACCGAAATATCTCATAAATATCCCACTAAATTTTCATCTGATAATTTTGTTATTCCAAGATCTTATTTAAAACTCAATTCATTTCAAATTCAATACCGGGGACCATTTATATGGAAAGGTTTTTTAAAAAATATAATTAAAAATAAAATTCTTCGAGGCATCTCCTTAGAACAATTCAAAAGAGAATCTAAACGTTTTCTATTAGAAAAAACTTTCGATTTTAAAGATTTCTTCTAAAATCACCTAAAATAATTAAACCTGAAAAAGTCATCACTACTCATTTACTATTGTCTTGTGTATCTTGTTTATTTCTTATTAAAATAAAAAATATATATACTATTAATTTTGAACAGACAAATAACATTTATTCGATTTATTACTTGTGCCTTATATTTGTAGAACTAATATTGTATTGTACTTCAATTTTTAACCTTTTAGTTTTTACCTTGTAACTTTGTGACGTTAATGTAAACGGGGCTTGGCGATAAGACAGTTTATGTCTTCTTCTTGCTCCGGCCAATTTTTATACATGAATGGTTTTTTCTCATTGTAAATTTAATTATACGGCAAAGAAAATATAATAATAATAAT